GCAGCAGCCAAAGACGTTGTCCATTACGGATGACCAGAAAGTCTGCTTCTTGAAGCTCCGTACTGATTCAGGGTACCACAAAGTTTTATTTCTGTGCACACGGTTGGTAGACTTTCGTTTAGCATTTGAACGCTGGGCATTTTCTTGTTGTGCGCGGTACCTAGCTAGATGTGACGCGCCAGCAGGTTGGCAATTCGCACTGTCTCCGCTAGGTGGCGTTATGGTCGTGTGGTATGTGTTGTTGTACCGTTTCCGGTAGGTTTTACTGACTGTTATTTGTTAGCTGTTGTGGTAGACGATGTGCTGTTCCATGTAGAAAGCGGGTCACCATTCGTCCCCAAGTACAATTGTCCTGTTGATTTGATTCAGCCAATAGCAATGCAGTGACGTCAAGAACGGGAGAGGTCAATTCCAGCTCAATGACTAAGCCCACTTGATCGACACCCCGAGCGTGATTTGCCCGACCTGTGTCCCTCCGTTCAGGAGAGTTTTGTTGGTCGCTCTACGGCTCTGTGACAATTCATGTTTAGATTACTTGCTCTCCAATTCAGGGCTCTCGCCCGGGCGCGCCCCGGCAGCCGGACCGTACCATCCGCTCCTTAGTTCGCAGCGAGTACCTCCAACTGAGGAGCTGCTCAATCAATTTTATACGGCTTTAACTACGGGCTCCCTGGCCAAGGGGCTAAACTGGCCGTCTGCATTAAGCCCTTGAACCTGTAGTTAACAAACTAGCCACCTGATGTCTCCATACATGTTTTGAGCTGTAAATACGTGTATATCAGTGTTAGGGGCCCGTGTGGTGTATGTTCGCCTCGCCCCAGATTTCTACGTTCTACGGGGATCTCTGCTTTAATTTGACGAGGTTTTTCGTGACGGGTTGCGGGATCTTGATAATGTGAACCTGAATTGTACCTTCCTATCGACAACGGTCGGTGTGCAGCGACTATGTTTTGGAATCCTGCTCGTCTTTGCGTATCTACCTCCTCCGTCCAGTTCTTGAGGCGTCGTGGGCTTCTGTGGCTGTATTTCCCTTTTCTGTGAGCTCCCAAGTCTGAGGTCGTGACAGTGGATGACGTCACTGGAACGCAAGAGCAGTCCGGGCCGGAAATGCAATTATTCATTGGTCGTCGCAGTTTTGTGACAGATGCTTGTTACCGTAGTAAATTTTCCTGGAGATGTCGCAAACAGGTTGTCAGATAATCCCATGATAGATTCGACTAGATACCATCTCTAATATTGCCACAGGATGAGATCAAAACCGCTGCAAAGTGAAAACCGTTAGGTACCAATAATTAGGTATATGAACGTGCAAATATTGTTGTCGTTTCATAAGCTATGATTACCACACTGTTACCATATATATCGCTTCGTTACCACTGATACCGCACCTGTTCAGGATTTCAAAACTGCCGTGCCCTCGGGCCAACATAGACTATACCCTGTTCTCTGTTGTGGAGAGACTACCGCCATGTTGAAAGATCTATTTCGCGATGCCGCCCCTGTCCGACGTTATGGTCGTTCCAGCTGAGAGCTCGCTCAATCACATAATATCCAACGGGCTGGTTGAAACAACGTGTTGTGGCATTTCGTGAACTGTTTGCCTAAGATTTCGTATTGTTTGACTGGGCGACTGCTGTGGCCATAGCCACAACTCGACATTTTTCACTGTTCCTTTGTCCGTACCTAAGATCGTACCTTCGGAGCGATTTGGTGGAAATAGCGGATAAACTTTGTCGACTGTGTTGCCAAGTTCTGGAATTCTGTATGCCACACGCTCTCGAGAAGAAAACGCCCCCTTTTCTACGTCATCGCCTCGCTTTGTTGATCTTGTACACATATGTCCGTGATTGGTCCTTCTCTCTCTGCGGGTGGGATTCCAGTTTTATATAATGTAATAAATAAATTATATCATGTTACTCAAACAATGTTTTCTTGGGAGCACCGACCTGCTGGATTGATCGATGAATGACGCGACAATGATTTCTACACCTCATTGAAACATTTTGCTCGTGCCTGGAGGATGCACCCCAGCACGCCTTCCCTGAGTACGCCTCTGCGTATGACCTGGCGGAGGTCACGGCGTGGCTGCAGTAGTGAACGGGACACGGTGGGAGGTGGGTGCGCGGTTGGAGCCACAAGACAAAGTGCCGAAGCTGAAAACATTCTAGGTAAGTCCGAGTGACAAAACTTTCATCTACGTAGTACATGACCTTGAACACTATGTACCCTGACTAGTTGTATCTGCTTGTGATGATAAATATGCTTTTTTGGCACTATTTGATTTCATTGTGCAAAGGCCCTGTGCAAATGCTGATTTGTCTGACCGAGATTACCATGTTCTCTCGGTAGACAACGACCCGTCTCATCAGGGGCGGATCCAGAAAATCTCCAAGGGAGGGGCCATTAGAAACCAGGAGGCCCCCCCCCATAATCCCACCTGTTGGAGGCCCCATCTTCCCACTTGGTGGGCCCCCCCCCCAAAAAAAACTGCGTCTATTGAGCTTATCTAGCTGTTCAGGTAACATCTCAACATCTGTGCAGGCTTGGAGGCCCTCTGTGCAGGTTAGGAGGCCCTGTAAAAGTGGTCATCTCTGTGAGTATAAGAGACCTCCAAGTTATGAAAAGCTTTACCAATCTTCTAACAAAGAAGTCTTCTCAGCTAGTCTTCTAAGAAATAACTAAGTGGGTAGGTTAAAAAAAAAACTCATCGGATTTCGGCCACTTTATTTTCAGGAGGCCCCCTTTTCAGCTTTTTAACTTTTTAGCTTTTTATTTTATTTTTGAAAAAAATCGGCCAAGGGGGGGGGCCATGGCCCCCATGGCCCCCCCCTTGTATCCGCGCCTGCGTCTCATACCATCAGATCTCGTTATTATCACATTTATTTCAGTCTCGCACGCACACATACACAGGCATCTACAAAACAAAGGCACTTTGCTACTGCGACCATACCGGCAACGTGAGCTCGCTACGTATGAAAATTTGAGATTTGAAAGGCGTCTATTTTAGCACGGTCTAACTTGCGCCGCTGTGCTTCAGTGACGCGACTGTGAAGCCATCTAGTAAGGTTGTATGAAAGTTCCTTCAAATAACCCATTTAGGAATATTAGTCCGTTTATCAAGTTATGGTTTTCTCTCCGAGGAAATAGTTCAGAAATCCTCTCAGCATATATCCTGGAAATTACCGAATGGCAGCCTTTTGAAAAGAAAATAATACGATACAATCTGTTACGTAAAAATTACAAAAATACTAGTAACCAATGCCCTCGAGCCAGCATGCGGCACAAATCGCTCAATTTTATAAATATGGCTTATGGTACCGCTCAAATCACAACTTCAATCATCGCACCGATTCACATTCATATCAAAGTACCGTTTACGAATGGATCGTTGAATCATCAGAAACTGGCTTGGCATACCTCCCCTTGCACTGGAAGAGACTTTAAGTCAATAGGGACGGAAGCATTGAGCTAGGTCTGCTGGTCTGAATGCAATGTTTGACAGCAGAACAGGCTCTTCATTTAACCACGATGTGGAAAGATCTGACCGCTCGACATCGAAAAAAAAAAACAACAGAAATTCGGCTTCCCTGTTCGAATACTGTGATGTCATTTGGATGTCAACACCAACATAAGTAGAAAAATATACATGGTAACAATAATGACTTTTGCAATGTACCAGGTTTACAATAATGTTGGATTACGTAGTTAGTTGGCCACTATGAACGTCTACCCTGTTACCGGCGTGCAGAAACCACGTAGCATATAAGTAGGAATATTGAACCCCTGCAGTACGAATGTCTTCATTCTGAACATGATGCCCCCCGGGCACGTCCAATCTCGGAGCTTCGGAGGGTCTTGCCGCAAATTTATATGTTTGCCTGTTCTCATGAACTAGGGGAAGCGGGGGTAACACCGCCCCCCTAAGCTTTTCGCCAAAATGAGAGAATATGTGTGAAGTCTCTTGGTAGTTATTGTTTTGGTTACAATATTTAAACATTTTCTCACGTGTTTTAGGTACTTATTTTGCATGCTCCTAAAAGGTTTTCATGTATCACGACTTTTAAAAATACCTTGCATATTTGCTGCCTACAAATTGTGTGGGTAACCCCGCCACCGGTGTTGATGTTAACCCAACCCATTCCTACGAAAGCTTTTAATTGTTCAGAGATCGTGTGCGATGAGTTTCCTGTCGGTAAGTGGTAATTTTCGCAAATAATCGGTAATGGACACCTAAATAGGTAGGTTCATCAGCTGTTTGCCAGTTTTATACAGCTGGCAAGTGCTTGGTCGGGATGCATGAAAAATATAAAGTAAAAAATCAAATAAGCTGCTTATTCCCGACTTAGGAACATCTACGAACATAAATAAAGCGTGTCTTTGGAGTTTCATCACTTATCACGCTACAAACAGGAAACACCGCAACCTCAATTGGGGTAACACCGCCATGGGGTGGCGGTGTTCCCCAATAAGTGATCACAAGCAAAAATCGCCAGCGGTAAGAATGTACTACACGGTTCAAGCAAACTTATCTTACTGGACAAAGCCGATCAGTTATTTTTCGATGTAATCAAGTAAATCAAAATGAGTCTCTACTTAAAGACATTCAAAAGTGCTCCCAACTCATCGAATTTTTATAAGAGAATGTGCATTTTTCTTTAAATGCCCACATTGAGCTTCGATTACACTGAAACACCGGAACACAAATCAGAAGACGCTTACCTTCGTGCGGTCAATAGGAAATAACGGATTTTTACACTTCACATTTCATACTTTCGCCGCCAGATGGGGTGGCGGTATTTCCCACAGTGGCGGTGTTACCCCCGCTTCCCCTAACTTGAAATGGTATACCCTCAAAGCCTTTATCTTTGGAAGCATGAGGCCAGACTCTAACCTCTCTTTTGATGTGTCAATGCAAGAACACAGAAGACATCCATAGCGAATCCAATCGCCTGATCTCTGAATTTAATCATTATGTCTGCAGTTCTCTAATACTGTTTAGCTCTACTGCAAGAATCCATTTAAAATCTATTGGCCAAAGTGGAAGAGCATCTGACTAGAGTAGGGTGTGTGAGCAACATCGACCCGAGAGGCTACAGACACGGCGCTACCAAGCCAGTCTAGTCGTCGTTTCTGGACACTACGTTTGACTGTGAGCTCCGGAGCCCCGGCACTGAACGAAACACAGGTGTGAGATCACTCAAATATCCTAACACACGACATATGACACTGAAAGATCGTTTACAAACTTATCGACAAAATTATCACATTCAAATGCAAGACACCTGATTGACTTGGAAAAATGAACCACAAGTAAATATGGCGTAGCAAAATATCACATGGTGAGATCGATAACAAAACAGCACATCCTAAACGAACATTGTGATCTTAGGAGCAGCATAGGAACAACATCTTACACAAACATAACCTACTGGCAGGGCTCCGAACTCCAGCTTATGGCGACGCTCAGTAGATGGCGCGCAGTGCGGCAGCCAGCACCACCACGGTGCCAGCGATTGTCATCGTAGTCGCTCCGTTGCATCCGTCTTTCTTGAAGCACTGGCAAGAGCGAACCACCACCTCCGCATTGCGGGAGCCCACGCAAGTCTCGCTGTGGTTGGCGTAGCCGCACGAGCGGATTATGCGCACGTTGCCCAGGACTGGAACGGAATGGGGTGACATGGTTATTGATGGGTGTGGCCAAAAGGTCATCAGGTGGACTAATGGTGTAAGGCTTCCAAGGTGTGGGGAGAAACACATCAGTAGGAACTGGCATTATGACAATTCAAAACTCCAGGAAAATCTCAGTTGTCAGCTGATGTCCTAGAACTGCTGAAGACAGTAAGTAGATGATAATTAAATCATTTTTGGTTTAGCATCACACTCTTAATCTCACAGATAACATGACAGCCACAAGCATTCCTCATTTCTATCCCAGATCATAGCACACTCTACAAACAGCACTGTGTTCAACTATCTAAGAGCCAATGTAGCCTCAATATCTTTGCTGGTGTGCCAACAACATGTGGCCATGTGCTCAGACAGACTGGAATCTCACCTGTCTGGTGTGTTTTCCGACAGAGCACCCGCTGCCCCTGCTTGGTGGGCTCATCACATAATGCGAGAAAGCCAGCTGCTTTGGCACGGTCCTTGTCAAATGGGTCCTCACAGGCAGTGTGGTCTGCAGAAGAGCACTCATGGCATCGCAGGCCTTCACCTGAGAAGGAAGAAAAAGCACACAGTATTATTGATAAATTCTAACCAGCCATGATAAGAGAAACCAATCAATCTTTACCTCCCTACATACCTACATAAAAAGGAGAATGCAAGTTTGCGAAGGTCTCCAGAAGGAAATGGGCATTGCATACAAAGCATACCAATACCACGTAAAGGAGAATGAACATTCATTTTAGATGTTAGGCGATTGCATTATTGTATTGCATGATTGTAGGTACTGTGTACCTGAAAAGTGAGATTATGTGATCAAGAAATAGCTGAGCAGCTGACAATCAATTGCACTTGCAACCTTGTACAGCGGTCAGTCCTGGCATCAGCATAGACCTATAGCAGGTATGTAGCTGAAGAACTGGTGGGCACTGGGCAGGTGTTACAAAGTGTTTTAACCCTATTAGTGGCAGGCTCCTGGCTACCCCTATTAGTGGCAGGGGGGGCTGTTTACGACCCCCCCTTGATATCTCGAGATCTAACGGGCCGATTTTCAAAATTCAAACGGCATTCGATTTCGCTCAACGTGATCTACATTTCTAAAAAAAAATGTCAATAGGGGGGTAGAGGGGGTTAAAAAAAGGTAAATTGCAGATACATTTTAGACTGTTTATCACGGCCAGGTTTCTGAACCAATCTTAACGCAACTTTTGCCGATCGATAGAGAATGAACCAGGAATTCACATGGATCCTAAAAATATGCCTTTTTAAAAAATCATAGGCGGATACAGATCATTGAGATTGGGGGTACACAAAAAGTATAGTAAATAAGGTATTTGTTGGTACTGTTTCTAAAAAGGGTGGTAATGGTCTTGTTATGTTACAATTTTCTTATGAGAGAACGACTACAATTGTATTGGTCATGCATAGGCGGTGTCAGGGCACCTATGTTGGGAGGTAAAACATAACCCCCCTTTTTGGACGCCTGGATCCGCCTATTATAGCAAAAACGTGTCAAAAGAGGATGCACAATAACTTTGTATATGTTATCACATGATACCTTTCATTCACTGTTCGTAAAACTGGTGCATACAGTTATAATACATCAGCATCGTGATCTTCGCCCAAATGACTCGCTTCACGAATAGGACCCCCCAATTCCCAGTGCTCTGGAGCCGCCCCTGGTAAAGTTATGAACTTGAAATTTTCAGGGAATGTGCCCAATTTAGTTTTAGGAAAAGTCAGAAAATTTCAGCATCGTAGCTTCAGCGGTTTCGGAGATATTCCCGAAAAACCTGAGGGGTGGATGAAAACAACCCCCCCTTGCCACTAATAGGGTTAAATCAGTTATATTCCATGATAACTAGACTGAAGCATGCAAGTATTCTTACACAAGTTTCATACTTACATCCAACAATATATGCAGAGAAAACCAGCAGCAAGGTCAGAAGCAGGGCAAAAATATTCATTCTTTGATAGGGTATGATCACAAAGGTCTCAAAAAGAGATAAAAGCGTAGGCAACAATTTGAGCAGGAGAGCAAGCAAGAGCGACCACCCAGCGAGCTAACAAGCAACAGAATTCGTTCACGAATCGCGGGAAAGAACGTTCAGGAACGTCGCAAAACCAACAAATCCGGATCGGTGTTCTATATACTCTGTCCGGATCGACCGGAAGCCCCGGGCGGTAACGATCAGTAACGATTTGCTCCAGCAGACGGATATCCGATGACCTTGAACTGGCGATGTCGTTACACTTATGAATCCCCGATAGAAATGACAAACACAGTTTACGAAGTCGGAACTCGCTAAAGTTCTGCACAAGCGGTCGAATCGAAAGCGGGTGTATTGTATTTGAACTAATCACATCATAGAAGGTGTACATTCCAAGTCAAAGTATCGAAACGACATTTTATCATGCGGATTCCTTTTAAACGTAATTTATGCCGCTGACGAAGTGACAAGAATACCTACCTAGATACAGTCACGAAACTGTCCGGAAAGCCGAGTACCTTAAACGTAATTCGTTAACTTAGTTACAAAGTTCACTTAGGCGTCAGCATAATTCTAATTGCCTTAATGGCTCCAGGTTCCAGCGAAGCGACCAGCCTACCTAGAGGGTACCTACCTAGTACCTACCTACCACGGATACACTGAATCGAATGCCCTCAGTTGTAAAACCGACTGCTGCCAGCTGACAAAACCGGGCCGAGTGCACCCCGCCTGCCTTATTCGAGCGGCGGACGAGGGTGAGGGGCGAAGGCATTCATTGCACCCAAGATACTGGTCAGTGGTCGTGCCTTAACTACCCTCGAAAGTCGAAACCAAAGGTGCCTACTAGCATATGTTTCTTGATGACAAGTGCATGCTTTCAGTTTCAATGTCACTCCAAGCTGTACCTATGCATAAAGCGCTGCAAGGACCTGGATTCGCAATACCTTTAAGCATGCCCAATCATTCAACACATCGACCAACCCTCCCCATCCGTGTCACTCGTAGCTTCATCTCTTCCACTATGACGCGAAGCCTTCCGAAGTCCCTCTGTCTCTTTAAACTCACCCAGACTGAATTCTGTTTGGCATTCAGCAACCACTAGCGCCCTCTTGGCTCGGACCACTGGTTTAATAGATTTCGAGCATGGACAGCGCAGTCTGTCAATCACGCCCTGGAGCGCATCAAAAGCCGAGAGCAGCGAGAAACCAAGCAGGAGGCCCAGGTACCCGCCAACATCGGCAAGAAGATCGCCCGGAGTGTAGGTGATGAACGTCTCCATCGTGTGGCGTACTTCTCCCAGACGAAGGTGGAGCACCAAGGTATTCTCATCACTCGGCTGCCACGGATTCGGGTGTTCGGTGTAGTCGAATCGGTCGCGAATGCAGGGCTCGGGACACGGACAGCTCGCCAAGCCTTCGGGATTGGTGAGGAAGCGTATGAAGGGTCGCTCGCCGAGGTAGTCAAAGTCAAGGGCGGCGCCACCGTGGGGGCAGTGGGGGCAGGCTGCCCCCACTGGCAGGAGGCCGTGGGGGCAAGACTATGTTTTGCCCCCACAAAATTTGGCTGATATTGACAAGGGAACAGAAGACAGGTGCAACATTCATGATAGGCGGTTATAATAGTACGCCTGTTCGGTCCCCGTATCAAGTGCATTAGCAGAACGTTCGTTCTCGGACCGTCTGTCGCATTTCTCCTACTCCCACTCATTCTCCTACTCATTTTCATTCACCAGAAGGCTGCACTCGCCCCTCGAGCTTGACCTCCAGGAGGTTGAGAGGCAGTTTGTCAAAAGTCGGCCAGAGAAGAGATCACCCTCTTTTGGGAACCCTTAGACTGACACTGAGACTGAGCTCAGGGAGGTATGACAAAATGTGATAGGTATGTATGTTCGGGTTATCTGGAAATGTATGTGGGTCGCCCTAATGGAGCTTATTCTGGTATAGGTATCAATCGTGTGTGAGAGAATCGCACATATACGTTCTACGGGAAAAAGAGAACTAGGTACATACCGACTATTGTTGTGAGGAATACACCATTTTATATCTCAACGAACAACATAACGTTTTCACAGGTTTGTGTCACGCAAGTCGCAATCTAGTTTTATAGTTTTATTTGTTCGCGACCCTAACCCGTCCGGGCCCGGGGGGTTAACCACCGCAGCCCGGGGTAGCCCCCCCCCCTCCCCACCTGTCTAACAACGTTAATAAGGCAGCTACGGAAACAAAAATGGTACCAAACGAAAGGTATCTACGAGAAGATTCTAAAGCACCTAAACTTTTTGACCTCAGGCCAATTTTCAAGGTCAGAAGTCAAGGTCAAAGGCAAAAACCGGCACTTTTGTAGTGGTCTCACTCAAAGTACGTGTTCCAGAGGACGGCATGGTGTATAAAACCGGCTAAAATGGATGGTAAACGAACGAAGAGAGTCTGGGGATTCGGATTCCGATGATGTGCATAACATTCAAATTCAAGGTCACGGTAATGCGCAAAACTGACCACAAACTTTGCATTTTTCTTATATCTTGTAAACTAGATTCCGAGATGTTTTGAAATGTTTTGGAGCTTAGCGGACCCTTATTTGTGCTTAAGCTTACGATACAAGGCTGGTACAGAGCACAGGGTCAAAGTCACAAGAGTATCCTTGCTAGAGACTATTTCACTTATTCAACTCAGGCATAATAATTAAGACATGTTTGCCATCCTGATGCTCTAAATGAATGCTTAGAGCAAAATGGATGCCAGAATCATGACCAGTGGCTACGAAATCATCACAAACGACCTTTCATGTGTAAAAGTCAACCAAAGGTCATTCGAGGTCACATGAGGTCAATATAAAACTTGACCTTTTCCAAACAATTTACATGTATGTCATTCGACGCGTCTCTACAAGACGAATGCGAAGGTACCACTGCCGCAGCTCTAGGACCATTTTTGCTGAAGTTATTTGCGAACTAAACTAAAATCCCAGCTCAGGGTCGTTGACCTGACCTCTGACCTGAGGTCACCAAAAATACTTAAGTAATTTTTCTAGGTCAATTGCTACACAACCGTGCTCGTAATTTGTCTTTATCTCTAAAACTCTATTTTGGGCATCTGGTTGAAGTTCACGTCTGTGACGCCGAAGTTTGCCGTGCAGGAGTCTAGAAAAATCGGCCCTGAGACGTTATCAAGGAGGCTAGGTCTAATTTGTTTGCTTCAAAAGATGTCAAATTAATGGGGGATAAGGCACAGTAAGTTCCGTCTTTCTATCCCTAAGCGTTCGTGAGGTATCGGAAATATTCGCCAGGGGGAGGCGAAAACGCCCCCCCCCCCCCTTCCGGGCCCGCGATGCTCATGGATTTTGCAGATCGGCGTATCAGACAACAGTCGGGTCACCTCAATCTTGCCCCCACTGGCGAAAATTCGTGGCGCCGCCACTGAGTCAAAGTCGATGTACCAGAGGGTGTCCGATGCTAAGCAGAGGGGCTTATCCGCAGTCACAGAAGATGACTCCATGCTGCAGTTCAGCCAGCGGAAGTAGCAGTGTCTTTGACAGGTCACTCGACTGTAGGCGGGGTCTTCCTCGCATGGTGCCCTCCACAAGTTCGGACGAACATCGCGCTCAATACGCAGGTGAAGCGACTTGAGGCTGGTCTCGTTCGTAATGGGGTACATGGTGACATTCTGCACCGGCAGGCCCCAGTACTCTTCATCACCGTGCACGAAGAGGAAGTAGCTGAGGATGACCCCGTTCCAGGGCTCTTCGAAGGCAGGCTGCCGGCGAAGACGAAGAGTGGCGTCACGACAGAAAGGAGTCAGTGTGGCGCAGATTCCACCGTTTCCGTAGTCGATAGTTGTGTTCCAAATACCACACTCTGTTTGCAGATAGTCCGGACTTTCGCTCAAGAAATTGGCTTCCAGTTTTTCGTCGGGGACGATGATCTCTGAAAGTTTCAAACCCGACCAGCGGAAGAAATCCACTAGTGAGCGATTTGAGAAGACGCCATGAACTTCCTTGCTGGAACCTTGGATGAGAATGCGTTGGATGCTGTCATTCAAGATGGAAGAATGGCACACGGAGAAACGTGGTCTCTGAAACGTCTCTTCCCAGCGAAAGGAAACGGCAGTGGGCTCTGAGAGACACTGGTACGTCTTCTGACCGGTCAAGCTCAGCCAAGCCACGAAAAGCAACAGAATGACGGCGTGCTTCAGTCGCATTGACATGCACCAACTTTTGAAATGGAGATTCCTGAAGACTTCTTTGCACTGGTTAACTCGTTTCCCCATTTCTGTCGAACATCTAGATGCAAAGCAGTCATAAGAGAGGCGGTGAAAAATTAACTTCCAATCGTAATGATGCTGCCAAAACAATAGCAGGATGCTGCTGAACGTCACAGTCTGATGGTGAAGGCACTGACTGATTATAGTTCCGTGTCGTCACTCGCTAGATGGTTGCCTTACCTATTCAAAGACAGTGCAATTGACTTCTCCATGTAGGCAGCTGCATGAAGACCGTTGGTGGAAACCATACGGTAAAGCTTTCCACGAGCGACGAAACCAAACGACTGAATTGCCACTGTTTTCAGCGTTGACTCTGAAGGGAAACTGACTGACTTATGCCTGACTTGCCTCCGTTATTGATTTAGGTGGGCCACCGCGTAATGGATACACTGGTTCCTACGTTTATTATGTGAATAATTCGGACATTTGCTGATTAAACAGCACTTGCGTGCAAAGACGGCTTCAGAGCCACATTTTGTTAAGTGTTTGTGCTGTGACGGCACGAGAAGCTAGAACAGGCAATGCAGGCCATTACACAAAAGTTGACATTACAATAAACATTATTCATAATCACCCTTTGAGCTACCGGTTGTATTTTTTAAGAAATATGCAATTTTAAAAAGGCATTCATTTGCGAATGTGGTTTCCTGCTGATCTACTAATGAGGATTCTTTGAACCAAAGTTCAGTTCCAACCTCAATGAATGTCTTTTGATGAACGGGATCGAGGCCGAGAGAGGACTTCTGAAAAAGCTTGTGCAGGTCGTGACTTCTATTGTATTGAGAATGTCAGGTGTGTCTCTCCTTAGTACCCACGTCAGAATTATAGTCGAACATCGAACGTCGACATGATATAGGCGGACCAGACCCATTGCGCTCCGCTCAGGTGTTAATCTTATCTTACATATCTAACCCGACCAACATCATGTGCCAGTGGCGGATCCAGGGGGGGGGGGCAAAATGGGCA